GACATCAGTATTTTTCATCTACTAGATTTCTCACCTTCTTTGAGAGAGAGAGAGAGAGAGAGAGAGAGAGAGAGAGAGAGAGAGAGAGAGAGACTTTCTCAATATTTATTTTTTAGTTCCCGGCGGACACAACATCCCTGTTGGTATGTGGTGCTGAGGATGGAACCCGGGCCGCATGCATGCCAGGCGAGGGCACCACCGCCGGAGCCACATCCCCAGCCCCTAATGTTATTTTTTTTAAAAATTATTTTTTACTCTAGTTTATTATATATGAGAGCATAATGTATTACAATTTATATTACACATATACAGCACATTTTTTCATATCTCTGGTTGTGTAAAAAGTATTTAGGACATCTTCAAATGTCCTGTCCTATACCTGGAGGGAAGGAACATTACAGCAAGAGGACAATAATAATCTGAATACACAGGTCTGGCCGAGTTCCCTTCAGTTCATTATTATTTAGGTCATATCCCCTTTTTGACCAACCACACCTCTGTACAACTGTGCACTCTTCATCAACCCTAGGCATAAAAATACTGTTTTGCTGGGCCTCTGATTCTTCATTTATAGAAGTTTCCATGTCATGTAACTTTCAGTTTAATAAGGTTATTGTATTTTTCTCTAGGTAACCTGTTCTGTTATACAAGTGTGAGTCCTGAATACTCTGATAGGTAAGGTATAAAATATTCTCTCCTCCAATTTTCAATATTACTGCCACCTACTTATTATTTACCAGAAATTTTCATTCTGTCTCTTAGTAGTACTTATATTATTACTTGTATTGTTATTTAAATCTAGTAGTCTTGTTGCCTTTTTTGCCTACCGCCTATCTAGATTTTCAGTTTTTTGGGGCAAAATGACTTGTCAGTCCCCACACTGCCTGTGATATGAATCTCTGAGCGCTAAATTTGAATCACTACTTGAGTAATCTGAACGGAAGATAAGAACCTATTGATAGAAATACAATGGTGCATCACTGAGGGAAAGAAAATAAGAGTATATAAATTTATTGCCATGAAATAAGCACTTGTGCTAAGATGGATACATATTCTAATTAATAGCAAAGCTATTTTCACAGCTGGGTAAATTATATTTTTATAATTCATTTAAAAATTTAGGCTTGGATTTAGCTCAGTGATAGAGTGTATGTCTAGTATGCCAGAGGCCCTAGGTTTTATCCACAGCACTGGAAACAATTCTGATTATATATCTTTATTATATAAACATTTGGAAAAAGTATGCATTATTTCTCATCTCAATGGCTTAAGTATTGAGTAAAAATATATAAAAATACTCAGAGTTCTCAGAGGCAATTATCTGACTTAAATGAAGTAATATACAATCACTGATAATTGGGATTCACACCTATTCAATACTTATTCAACAAGTATTTATTGAATAATTTTTTTAACTAAGCACTGTACCACACACAGAAATGGAAAGATGGGCCAAATTATTTTACAAAGGATTTCCCCAGTTCACTATGAGAAAGACTTGCCTATCACAATTGCTAGAATTGACATTTAAATAAAGTGTTATGGAATCACCAAAATATTAAAAGACCAATTTAGACTGGAAAAGTAATTGAAGAGAAGTTAAAATACCATTTTAGTTGGCTGCTATATGGTAGAAAATAAAAGAATGAGTTTTGCCATTGGTTGTGCAGCTCACGTACTATATGATGGAAAATAAAAGGGTGAAACACAGCCACATACAGCTAAGCATCAACTACTTGTGATAGTTCCTTAGAGGACAGAGTATATTTTGCATCCCATACAGAAATCACCGCAGCACTAATTTGAAACACCAAAAGCATTCTGATTTTCACAATAACAAAGAGACTTTTGTTGCATAATAACATATAGTAATACTGTGGGCTTATAGTGCCCCAGTAGGGTCATATTTGAGAGAAAAGGAAATAGTATGAGAAAAATCATTGGAATAAGAAAGTGCAAAATTGTGTAGGGAATGGAGAATGAGTTTGTCTAGAGAAAAAAAAAATGTAATTAAGAATAGAGGGTAGGCACTCTAGGAGAAAATTTAGTATGGTATGACTAGATTTAAACAGAGCATATTTTTTAAATGCTAAAAAGATTAAATTTCATTATTTGGGCAATTGAAAGCTACAAACTTAAATAGACATAATCAGAACTTTATTTTTAAAATACATTAGAGGTTGAGGGAGGAGGATCAAGAGTTCAAAGCCGGTCTCAACAAGGGAAAGGTGTTAGGCAATTCTGTGAGACCCTGTCTCTAAATAAAATACAAAATAGGACTGGGGATGGGACTCAGTGATAGAGTTCAATCCCTGGAATCAACACACACACACACACACAGTCATTATATGTCGGCAGTGAGGTAGACTGAGTTATAAGACTAGTTTCTAGCATTGGTCAAGAGGCTGATGAAAATACTATCTATGATGATGATAAATTAAGTTTTCAAGGCTAGCAAAAATACACAAGTTGAAGAAAAGATGGAGAATGGGAATGGCAATCTCAATGAGAAGAATAATATGAATTATTAGGGCGATTATGAGATTTGGGAATGAAAAGATCTAGTTGAGACTTCTTTCAGAATAAAAATAATAAAAAACATGTTACATGTCGACAGGGAGACTAAGTTGTAAGACTGGTTTTTAGCACTAGTTAAATGCTGTTTATTACACATATTAATTAATCAGGTTTTGTTGTCTGAGGTTGAGACAGGGAAAAACAGTTGCTGTATTATCTATTCTATGATAATATAGGAATGCATAATTGTCTTTTTGTTTCCATTTTCCAAAGGAGAATTCAATAAACAAAATACTACTAATCAGAATTCAGCATTTAGTATGTAATATTTATATGTATTTGACTTCAAAGCTTCTGTCATATTAAACTGTACCCACCTATGTTCCTTCATTTGGTTGAGTAAATTCTTTTGATATTTTTCTTCTTCTATTTTTTTCTGAACACTCAGCCATTTTTGTCTTAGGGTAGCATCATTCCTCTTCAGTCTGTCAATTTTAATCATTCCTTTGGTCAGAATAGTACGCTCATTATTTAGGGTTTGAACTATTAAATGTTCTTCAGCCTTTTGTTTTTTTCCTTCTAGAAACAGAGTTCTTCTCTCTTTAACTTTCATAAGGTATTTTAATTTGTCTTGCCAAAGTTGCTGTAAACTTTTCTGAATAGTGTTGTGATCTTTTTCAATTAGTTTTTTTATAGCTATTTTTTTCTTATTTATGCTTTCATGAACAGTTAAGCCAACTCTTTTTTTGTCAACTTGTGCCCTGGATACAGCTGCTATTTTTTCTTGATGGAGATCCTGCATCTTTTGTTCAGCATAATATTTGTCAATATCTTTAAGGGTTTGAAGTTTTATACCGGCTCTCTGTGTTGTAAAAAACTGTCTTAAATTTGTCTCAGGTAGTGTGCCTTTTTTAATTACTGGCTTTGGATGGGTGGTAGGAAATAGATGGGCATGTTCAGGAAAATAATCTTGTTTTTTCTGTTTCAATACTGCATCATACTTCAATAAACCTGAAGTATATAAAGGTAGTTTGGATGCTGATATCCTAAAACTGGTATCCAGTACTTCATTCTCATTTTCATCTCCAGACTCCTTCTGACCTACATCATACAACAGACAAACATATGTCACAACAAAAGTTAAACTTATTTTCTGTTCAACTTGTTCTGAAGGGTATATTAATAAAGTTGATGAGAACATACTATTTACTTCACTAAGAAGCATTTTCCCCAAATTGCTTTCCATTTTGTGATTTTTGGAAAGAAAAATCACTATTAAAACATTTTAACACAGAAATAAATTGAATCTGATTCCTGTTTTCATTGTTATTTCTCACAATTATTTAACTTGGACTGACTCAGCAACAGCATCTTATCTTATCCTTAGCACTTATAAATAGTATTTTTTCATTTAGTTTGCTGAAAGACAAACCTTAGACAAATTAAACAGAATTTAAATGAGCAAAAACAGTTTATGAATTGGGCAGGGTCTAGAAGAGTGGAGGTTCTGACAGCACAATTCCAAAACATGAGCAAGGATTATTATAGACACAATGTGGAAGTGACATACACAGAAACAATTTGATGGCTTATAGCTCAATGCTTTGCCTTATTTGGAAATAGTCTGATGAGTTGGTTGCCTATGATTAACTGAAGTTCAGTTGCTATGATTTTCTGTGATTTAGCTATTTGTTACAAAAATATTCTCCAAAGTTAGGCTTTTAGTTTTTTCACATATCAAGTTAACTTGCAGGGTTTTTTTTTTGTTGTTGTTGTTTTAATATAAGGGATCAAGGTATGGAAGCAGTTTAAAGTTAAACTTAATTGCATTTAACAAACTACTATTGTCTCATATTTTCCAACGATACACACTGTAATTAGTTTTACTTTATTTTTCTTAACTCTAGGGAAAACCAATAGCTACCATTTAAACTGTTTTTTTCCCTCTTTGGATAGACAAACTAAATTTCTCATCTTGCTTTGCTATTTTGTGTGACTGTGAGCAAAGTCTCTTCCAGTGGAATGTGAACAGAAGTGTGATGCATCATTTCTTATCCAAGTCCTTTAAGAAATAAATAAGTCTCCTTTCTTTTCTTTTTTACTTCTGACCACTGCAGACATGAGAGATGGTGGAACCACAAGACTGAAGAAACATTGGTCCTAAAACATGTATTGAAAAAATAATTCCAAAAGAAGATTAGATAATTTGGACTGTTATGGAACCTGAAATAATTAATAATTATGCTTAAAATAAGATATATGTCTGGGTATATTTGTTACTATACCAATTTAACTAATACAACTTTAATCACATTGTTGCTCACATATCTATTTTTTGACAAGCATTGATGAATTTAGGATCTAATGGCAAAAGGAAGCATAGAAGTCAAGCTTAAATGATTCACATTTGACTGATTTTCTCTACCTATTGAAATTACATACCTGCCAATTCTATAAGGATTTTTTATTCTCTAATAGAAGATTCACATAATATCATTCTATTTCAAAATGACAAAGCTGATAGTGGTGAAGATGGAAGTGAAGATGGCCATGAAGAAGGGAAGGATCTGTGGTATAGACAAGTAGTAGGAAGGAAGTGAATATCTGAAGTTTTTATAAAGGCCAAAGGAGAATCTGCATTAGAAAAATAAGCAGTCTATAGCAAAGCAGGAAATAAAGTCTAAAAGTAAAAGTGGCAGTTTACCAGAATACAAAAAGCAAAGTGTCTAAAAATAGATATTAAAAATTTGGATCTGAAGCAAGACACTGGAAAACAAAGGACAAAAGCCAGTCTCTCATTAGTTGTTTGAATATAATCAGACCAGTCATATCCATGTTTAAATCTGCATATCCAGCAGGACCACCATTGCAAACACAACCAAGTCCCCTCTGTTCTTATTACCATTCATTTTTTTTCATTAAACATTATAGTAAAAAAATATGGATAAGATACAGAGACAACTATCTTTTTATTCACCTGTACTAACAATTTAATTCAGATACGTATTTCACCTTTATTCTGTCCATCAAATTCTTGAAAGTCTCCTATCAAAGGCTTTTATAAAAATAAGTGCAAAGGGTACTATTTGGTTCTAATATTATATAAAATCTCAGTAGCAATAAAACACACTTTGTGCTTTCTCCTTCCTTTTTCAAGATTCTATAATAATAATCTCTCCTATTTTTTTTCTGATTGTTACTTCCTAGTTTTGTTTGCAGACACTTTCTTTTCTGCCAAATCTCTTTATATTGGACTTCTTGAGGACTTGCTACTAGGCATCCTTCCCATTTCTATCTACTCTCTTTCTTTATCTGAATAATCCTCATAACTTTACTGATAAACTCTCAAATTCATCTTTTCCACTTGCATTTCTTTTAGGTATCTTTTAAACATGCTATATTACAAAACAAGCTTTTGTTTACTTCCAGAAATCTATTCCCTCTAAAACCTGTCTTCCTTACCTCAGTAAATTATATCTAATAATTTAGTTCCCTACATAAGTTTTATCAATAAGTCCTGTAGATGTTTCCTTCCAAATGTAACTCAAATTAATTGATTTTTTCCCACCTCCTATCCCCTACTCTACTTCAGGTCTTTGCCAGCTCTTATTTTATCTACCACAATTTCCCAACGCATAAAAATTTTATTGTTTACACAGTGATCAAGCCACAGTGATCTCTTTAAATTGTCCTTAAATGCCCTTATGATAAAATTCAAACTCCTTGCTATTGTCTATAAAGTTCATATTCTTTTGCATTGGTTTAACGAGCAAATATAAACTTCCAACTGGTTATGATCACATTTATTATTCTATGCCTAAGACATGAATTAGTTCTGGGGGTAATTACCAGGCAAAATTACTGAGTTTCAGGGCTATAAATAACCAAACAAGAAAGTCAATTCCTTTGACTAAAGTTTTAAAAGTGAAAATTTGACATAGCTTAAAAAAATTTTATCTAATTTCACTCAAGGTCTTCAAAAAATAAAAATGGTACTGTGTGTCTGGAATATTACAGTCTAGTGAAAGAGAAAAGGCTTGTAACTTCAAAGTATTGTGGAAATTTTTAAAAATACAAACATAGAAACCTTGGAGGCATAGAAAAACGACTATTTCATTTCAGTCAAAATAAGTGATTTGAGACAAAAATATTCCAGAGAATGTTGACAAAGATTATTTTACCAAATCTGAATCAGGCCCCTCTGAGTTTTCCTGACTAATTCCTTATCCTGGGCTCTCAGCTGGGTCTGTTCAGTCTAGTTTTAGCAAGAATTCTACTGATTAAGCTTAAAAATTCCTTATCCTCCAAACTATATCTTATCACCCCGGACTGTCTTCAGAATGAATTTTGTGGAGTCAATCTAACAACAACAAACAAACAAAAAACCTACTGCATATCCCTGTTATTGGTAAGGCTGTGTACAGAGATATCATACAGAAGGGGAGAGAGATTAGGTTTACCTCTGAATATAACAAGGACAAATAATGATTTATCCATTAATCAGAGTGGGATCAATAAATGACAAATTACTAAGAGAAATCATTAAGTCTAAAAGTATTCTTGCCCAGAAAATTCTTATTACAGACAGGCCAATGTGATAAGATAATGAAGTCAATGGATTAGGACAGTGGACTCTGTTAGCAAAAGATGAAAATTTGGGGTAAATCAATAGTCAATGTAATATGCTAGATAGATATAATATGAAAAAGAAAAAAATATCTAGCCTTACTGTGTAAGTTTCTAAATAAATTACTATTTGCAAAGGGAATTGATATATGTACACACTTCATTTTGCCATGGGAAGTTTTAACTTATACCTATGACACTGGTGACTTTATTAATAGCAACTGCTATCAGACTTAGAAAGGGCTAAGTTTGGAAGACAAATCATATAGTCACATTAGCTACAGGAACACAGATGAATAAATAGAATAAAAATAGGAGAGTAACATCATGTTATTTGTATTATTTTAAGTTAAAGATCCTAATAGAATGTCCAAGACTTGGTAGTTATTTAATAAGTGCTTTTTTTTTTTTCAATTTAAGGTTGGTTCTCAAAATCTTTATAAAAGTTGAGATTGTGTCTGCTTGTTCACCATTGCTTATCAAGTACTTAGAATAACATGTGGTACATGGTAGCCTCTCAATAAATATGAACTTAATTAACTTTTTTTCTGAAGGCAGCTAGAGAAATTCAAATGTAATAGTCACTAGTTCTGAATTGTAATTAGATACTTTTACTTCTTACCCTTGACTCAGGCTTTTCACATTCATTAAAAAAGTCTCATTTGCATCACCATCTAAAATAAAATTATTTATCTTAAAAACATAAATGTTGTCATTTACTTAGCCCTTACCACTTGGTAAGCACTGAGATAAATTCTTCACATTAATATTACCATTTATTTAAATACTAGTAACTTGTAAAATTAGATATTATTGACCATTTTCAGAAAAAAAAATAGGTTTACCTAAGTCAAACAGCTGTCACACAGGGATAAAATACTAATATTTGGCTAACATGGTAAAAAAAATTAAACAAAATCCAAACAAATATTTGAGGATAGTGAAGAATGCACAAGAACAAGTACATGTTAGTGGTCTGCTAAAACAAAATATCTACACTCTTATAACAGAATTCAAAGTATCACAACATAATACTTATGGTGTCCAAAATATAATCCAAAAAATATAATATTAATGAAATTACATCATAAAGAAAGGTAAGTATAGGTGGCTAATTGGCCTACATGTTATCTGAATTCCATATTTTATTTGAAATATATAAAACTAACAGTAAGTAGGTTGAAGAAAGTGAACGATTTATATTGTATATCCTAGAGAAACAAAATATATGATACAAAGAGCTTCAGTTAGAAATCCAACAGATAAATCAAGGTGCATTTTTTTAAAAATATATTTGAATGAGCTTTAAAACCTAGAGAGAAAAATAAAGAAAACACAAGGCATTTAACAAAGAACAATAAAATGATATACCTATGCTACAATAATCAATATAATTAATCAATAACTAAATGTTAGTAGCCTAAATACCCTTAATTTAAAAAGCAAAGATTATCAGAATGGATTTTAAAGAGTTA